GAGCAATGTGTGGGGTTGCCTGAATGTGATAAAGGCCATCGGAACTACTGCTAGTAAGAAGTACCGTCCCCGTCTTGATGTTGTTTACATGAAAACCATTAGCATCCAACTCAAAGAAACAATCATTATCACGACAGAAACGACGAATAGATATCAAATTCTTTCGTATCACAAGAACACACAATACTTCCTTAAGGTTTAAGGACTTATGCAATCTTGTCAATTTAGTATTGCCAATATGTGTGATTGTTAACTGATTCCCATTGCCGACAATAATTGTATCAGTACCTATGTAAGGTTGGGCATGTGGCAGAGATGCTGTATTGGCTGTCATGTGATGAGTAGCGCCAGAGTCAAGGCACCAATTGAGATTTGCGGAATCAGCAGTAGGAGACTGGTTTGCTATATTTTCTGCCGTGTATGCATGAGGCCTACGGTCTAGATAGAAACAGGCTATGTGGCCAGGCCTATCACATCGAAAGTATATTACCTCAGGTCATTGGGGATTTGGAGAATTGCCAAGTGGCTTTGGAAGAAGCGGTGGGCGTCCATCAATTAGAGTCACGTGAGAGGAGGCTACTGGTGCAGGCTGCTGTTCGCGAGATTGATCACCACGTTCGTGAGGCAAATTGCCTTGGTTCGATCCCCACTGATCTGTTTGCCCTTGTCCTCACCCACAATGCCCTTGATGCCAACTTCTACCACACCCACAACCTCTTCCAGAGCTATAATAGTGGTTGTGATTGCGACCAGCATAATTTGGATTTGGATTACACTCGCTAGGTGTTCGATCAGCAGCCATAGCAACACCTGAAGCCACGGTAAGTGACATGCGTTTTTGTAAGTGTTCTTCTTATAAAGCAAGGTCATAAAATTTGTCGAAACCAATATCTGGATGCAGGTGAAGTGTGGTGGCTAACTCCTTGTATGCAAGCCCAAGTCCATCCAAAACATAACTGACGAATTCATCGTCATCCATTGTTGCACCAGCTTGTGTGAGGGAATCAAGGAGTGATTTGGCATGGTTGAGATAATTAGTCATTGTTGTGTTGTTATCCTTACTGATGGTGCGAATTTGGTCTCAAAGAATCCGCACACAGGTACTAGCAAGAGGTGAGAGACGCTTGCCCAACAGGTTCCAAGCTTGATGAGCGGTGGTGCACGGGATGAGAAGAGTCTTGATGGAAGGAGAGGAAGTCGCCTTGATCCAACTTAGGACCAGTTTATCTCTGGCTAATTCAGGATGCACAGAACCATCTTCTTGCACTTTGGGTGAAACTGTGGTTTTCTTGATGGCCTCTGCAAGGCCATGCATCTTCAATACATCTTGAAATTGAGATTTCCAACTCAAGTAGTTGGTTTTTTCCATAGGAATTGGAAACAAAGATGAGATGTTGAATGAGGTGGGCAAGGAAAGGAATGAGAATGAAGGTGAGGCAAGTTTTGACATTTCAGAAATCAGCCTTGTCACATTAATATTATTTGATTCTCTAGATTTGGGTGTGTTTACCATTTGATTGGGTAGGATCGGAATTCTTGAGCTTTGGCTCCAAAGAGCTCTGATACCATATAAGAAAACAAACTCAAGAAGGAAGAATAAGGAAGATGGGAGATAGAAGTATAGAGCAATTGAACTAACCAAGATGATTTTGGTCTATGTATTACAGCTGTATATATCATGTACAGGAGGTAGACTTTCTCAAGTCTATTTACAGAAAATAAGCAATACAAGGTAAGTAGCATTAATCTTATATATGTCAGAATAAATTACAAATCAATCTTTAGCTAATATATTAATGATCTTGTGATATCGAGTCTGTCAATACTGATTTGGGGGGATCGACTGATTTCATGGGATTAGCTGTGGTGGTATTCTCTTTAGTAACATCACCTGCTGGAACTACCATTGCTGGCATTCATGAGCAGGAGAAAGGTGGATTTCGTGGAATATTGATGAATGCAGTCCTCGCTGCTGCCAAACGCAGCCGGGAGTTTTTACAGAGCCAGTGATAGTGATGTTCTTATATCAGATTAACTTTGGCCTTTCCTTTTCGTAGCTCAGGGGATAGAAATTGTTTTCGGAGAATGTTACATTCTTATATATTGTCCCTTGGTACAATCTGCTGAATTAGAGGTTGATTGAAATACTATTTTCAAGATTGGTCTACAAGTAGAATAAGATTAGCAATAATAAAATGTTCTTCTTGATTTTATGTTCATTAACAAAAATAAGATGATATAAATTGGCAGGTTTTACTGAAAAATCAACTGACCCAATGAACTTACCTCTTAACTTCATGTTGCCCCAACCACTATCTAGCCATATTTTGTTGAAGCTCTTCACACAAGGTCTTAGAGCATCTCCAACAGACTCTCTATTCTCTCATTCCTAGCTACTTTGGCTAAAAAGAAGGAAAATCCTCCTCCAGCAGACTCCCTACTTGGCTCTCTATTTTGGAGAACCAACTTTTGGTGTAGAGGAGGGAGAATTTGGCTAGGAGGAGAGAGAAAAAGGGAGAGAGAGATAGAGACATTTGGGAGGTTGGTGGGGGTTGAGTTTCTACTTTCTTTTTTTTATAAATATATTTGATTTGTAAGAGAAAGAGGGAGAAAGAGAAAGAGAAAATAATAATAAAATATTTTTTTTGGATGAGGCCCAAGGGTCAGATTAGCCAAAATAGAGAACATTGTTGGAGGAAACATCCTTTAAGTGGTTTGCTATAATAGCTTTCTAACTATTTTAGCTACAATTTGGAGACTCTCCTAGAGATGCTCTTAGGGAGCTGATCGGCATAGCACATGCTTGCCCCCCCAATCTCAGCGGTTTGTCTTTGTCCTTCCACTTAATGAATTTTCTATATCACTGGCTTAGACAAATGAAGACCCTAATAAGGAAAACAAAAAACAAAAAACACCAAATGCGAAGACAAATGCATCACTTTTAAGAGCATTTTGTGCAGATTACCATGAAGTTACCATCGAGTCAAAGATAACAAGGGCTAACCCGAAAGCACATCCATCAGGTAAGGAAGCAAAATAAAATACTCCATGGGCCGAAGTCAGGCTTATGGGGCTAGGAAGCAGTTAATGGAAACAAGTCAAACTTATCTTATCTGGTATTGTAGTAACCGCCAAACTGCAAATAACTTATCCAAACTGATGTATGGTCGCAATCGGAAATGTAAGCCACCTGTAACATTTGGAATGGCGGCAACCATCAGACTCTCATTTGGAGTAGGCATCGGGTGCGAGAAAGACTATCCCACCAACTTCAATCTGACAATTTGCAAAGAAACACGTACACCCTGCAAAACAAAACGAAAAAGACAGGAAACAAAAACACACTGCACCACCAAACTGAGAAAATGAAAGACAGTGGTGATTAATTTTGCTTTGTACAGATTGGTTAATGTCGGTACCATCCTTGGAGGAAGAGACATCACAAGGACTGCGAGACTTAAGGTTAGGACAAGAGACAAGTCAACAGACTCATCCTCAACCATGTAAAAAGTCAACACTCATCCTCAACCATGAAAAAAATATGCTTCTGGATTGGGGATTGTTGGAATGGAAGAACCAGTGGGAACCAATTTTATTTTACATTTCCACCACTACACACAATTCACAAAATCATTATATCTTATACATGTTGAAAATTAAGTAAGTTGAGAATTAATTTTAAATGAAATAAATCCTGAAAACTCCGTGCACGTTGAAAATGAAACGAGATGAGGCCTCATATACATTTTTCAGTTTATCATTATCTCATCCAAATGAGATAATCAAACGATGTAGGCAAAACATGTTTAAACCATCATTGGCCTCACCTAATATATAACAAAAACATTGATTGTGATTTTCTTTTGAAGATGAAATAAAACCCGAAAAGAGGAAAAGAAAACATGCCTCAAAGAGTTGGAAATGCAAAGCTTTGATCGAATGGAGAAGCACTGCATTCCGATCATCTCTGAGGTTTTCTTCAAACAAAAACAGAAACAGATGGGATGGGATTGTATGAATGGGAAGAGGAAATAGCAGCGTTTTGTTGTTCTTGTGTATACACTTATTTCTATACTGGGTGGTTATCAAATGGGAGGTGGAACACTTGAATTTGGCAACTTCACAGCAAAAGCTAAAAATACTTAAATGATTTTATGCTTGCACAACACACAATACTTTTTTTTATTTTTATTTGTAAAACATGTGTTTGATTCATTGCAAGTGGGGAACGATCCCTTGGTGGGGTTTTAACATATTGGTCAAGATTTCAGTTTGAACAACTGATTGGGCTGTACGCTTTTTATTTATTTAATAATTTGGTCACAATTTGGATAGGAAAAAGGAATCTTGTTCCACCAAAATGGCAGAGTTTGACTTTTAGAAAAAGCCTTTATTGAAACACGCACGACGTCGTTTAAGAAAAATAGGATTGTGTTCTTCCTTCGTGAACTAGCGCCTCAAACCTCCATAAGCGACATGCCTCTACAACTCCTTTACAGTATAGCGTGCTCCTTAATCGTGTAACTTGCCAAATGATTGGGGCCTTGATCGATTTCAGGAGACCTCGCATCGACGTGAGCCATGAGGTGGGCCTTGATAACGCCTTTTAAAAGGCTAGAGAGCAAAGGGGCAAAAGGGGCAAATCCGACACCTCTATGGCTTTTTTTCGCCTCTATAGGTCCGCCGGTGGGTGGGACCTAATATTTTGATGAGCTCCATATCTACTATAGAAGTGGTAGTATACAAAGTGGTCTATAAATATGGTTTTTCTAGCTAAATATAATTGGACTACATATAATTACTAATTTTATATTGAACTAAAAATAATTGGACTACAATTACACTAGGGGGACTAAATATAATTTAAGGACTAAAAAAACAAAACTGCAATTTTTTTTATTTGAAAAAAAAGCCGAACAAAATAATTCACAATATAGTATCATTGCCTTTGCCCCTCGCAATTACAAGTGTACAACTGTCTTCTTCTTTATGGCTTGAGTTTCCAACCTGGTCTCCTTCTGTAGATAACCTTGACTATCATAACCGTGACAGAGACACCCAAGTCTTTCTACTGGGTCTTGGTCTGAATCAAAAAAACACCGACACCACACTGCAACTACAGGAACCTCTTTCTTTTTCCTACTCTGATCAGGTGCTGCTGAGGGAGCATTCAGTTTGGGTACAGAGCCAACCAAATGACAGGTGAGGAAGTGTCACCACTAGCACAAGTCAACCCAATTGACAAGGAAGCCTTCAAGTTGGGGTTCATTGGGGCTGGTAACTTGGCATCAAGTGTTGCAACCGGATTGGTCAAGCAGGGGATACTACCAGCTTCAAGAATTTTCACTGCACACCGGAACCCGGAAAGCAGTGTGGATTTTACATCCATGGGAATTAAGGTTTTCCCGAAAAATCATCAGGTACATGTCTCTTTATGGTCATAGTTAAATTCAATGCATATATATCATGGAACATATATAATGCGATTTTTCCATTATGGACTATTGCAAAAATTGAACATTTAATGTTGACGTGAGTTAGGCCCATTGGTCACAGCAGTGAGGCTATCAGTTTGTGTTAGTTGTTAATTGGGTCCGTTTCTTGGTTGCTGCCCTCCCATTCTTTGTAGCTGGTTCTTTGTTTTCAATATATTCATTGATTTACCCAATAAAAACTGAACCTTCATTTGTTGTTATTTGCTGAATGCGACACAAATGAAAAACAAATAGAGTTAAGAGATGGGGTGTAAAGCCAGAGCAATTACAAGGGGACTGTAGAAAAGCAATTACAAAGGGACTGTTAAAAAAAAACAAACAAGACAGTAGCTCTGATGAAAAAGGAAGATAGTTTCGTGTGGCAGTTTTCGCCATACGAATATGTTGTACGGAATATGCGCCCTAATATTTTCCATTAATATCATGGACAGGTAGTTGAAGAGTGTGATGTAATCATTTTCACAGTGAAACCTCAAATACGTACGCCTTCTTTCGCTTGGTTTTCTTTTCCCGTCCATATTTGAATATGAAATATGGCACTCATCTCTGCCAACTAATGCTCTTAGCCTTTTACTCTCCTGTAATAATTTGACATGCATTCTTATTAAAGCTCTGTTGATCACTGATAATCCTTATTAAGTTTTATAATTTTTTTTATCATAAACTGGATTGTTGGATATGCAGTTAAGGAAGTAATCTTGGATATGCAGTCAATTCATTACAAAATGATGATTTCTTAGGTTCATGTCCTCTGACTCTAGATTCACACTCTTAGCCGGTCATTGAGTCTCAACTGTAAGACATGCTCAAAGCATATTGCGATATTTAGACAATTCCGGTCCGGTTTAAATTCTACTTTGCCAATTGACTCTGTGTAGATGTTATCATCAGTCACAATGTGGCCTGTCTAGTTTGCCAATTGCTATACAGGTTTTATGGAATATCTTATAGCAACTTAATATTGGAAAACATATGCATTTTATCTATGAAATGAAGGTTAAGAGTTGGTTTTCATCGGATACATAAACAAGCATGGATCTGGATAAATTGATATTTGCATTGATCAGCTTCTGCATGACTCCATAATAATGAATAATGTTTACTATACAAACGTACGGATTTTTCACTGTCTATTTAGAAAGTGACTTTTAGCAACGAATAGCTTCTGTTTCATTCTTCAGCCACTTCCAGCTTCTTATTCTTGAGTTAATAATGCAGGCATTTGATAGGTTTACATGCACAAATATCTGAGTGATCAGAACATCATTTTGTAAGAAATGAAGTTGATTGAACTTTGAGATAGTGTTTCAAAACATTTTGGATGATCATAATTTCAACGGAATGTAACATGTTCTTATAGAGCAGCATAATTCTACTCATGAATTTTAAAATGGACTCTGTATTTTGTGGGTGAATGGGTATGCTTGTGCATTTGTGGTCTGAAATTCCTATCAGTGATTCTTTCCATGCCTCCATTTTATCAAGAATGCTCCTCCTAGTTTCTTCTTGCTCTATAGACACTTATAACCTCAGGCAGGCTCATGATATGCCATGCTTCTTGAAAAGTTTTCAAAGATTATTAATTTACAGTCAAGTTTCTGAACTTTCATATTTTTAATACTTATTTGTTCAAAGATTCTATCCAGGAATGGGTCGGTCATGGTCGATTTGTTAGAGTAGTCCCTACTACTGCTTCTGTCATTGGTGAGGCAGCTACAGGTATAACACTAATCCAACCCTAAGTTTGACAATGACGGAGAGCTAATATACTTAATTAAACAGTTATGCACTTGAGATAGATGTGTCTGCTCGCATACGCATCTCTTTCAATTTTCAAAAAAGAAAACGCATAATTGAATGGGTAGAGACATATACATCAATAGCCGTTCACCAAAGTTAGTGGCTTTTTGTTTGGATAATTTTGCAGCGGTGCTGGTACGGCATTTGTATATATAGCAATAGAAGCTATGGCTGATGGAGGTGTAGCCGCAGGCTTACCACGAGAAATTGCATTGAGTCTTGCTGCTCAAGCTGTAAGTGGAAACTGTTATGTATATCTTAAGAATCTAGTGGTGTATTATAAGCTGTAACGTTATATATATCTTGACACTCCATTATCTTTCTCCAAGATTTGTCTATGCTGGGTACTCGATATATGCTTCTGAAAACAATTCAAGGCCTTAAATGAGATAGCTAAAAAGCTCAGACTTCTACTTTGGATTCACAGAACACACATTGTAGTGACGGGTTATACAAACGTACGGATTTTTCACTGTCTATTTAGAAAGTGACTTTTAGCAACGAATAGCTTCTGTTTCATTCTTCAGCCACTTCCAGCTTCTTATTCTTGAGTTAATAATGCAGGCATTTGATAGGTTTACATGCACAAATATCTGAGTGATCAGAACATCATTTTGTAAGAAATGAAGTTGATTGAACTTTGAGATAGTGTTTCAAAACATTTTGGATGATCATAATTTCAATGGAATGTAAGATGTTCTTATAGAGCAGCATAATGATTCTACTCATGAATTTTAAAATGGACTCTGTATTTTGTGGGTGAATGGGTATGCTTGTGCATTTGTGGTCAGAAATTCCTATCAGTGATTCTTTCCATGCCTCCATTTTATCAAGAATGCTCCTCCTAGTTTCTTCTTGCTCTATAGACACTTATAACCTCAGGCAGGCTCATGATATGCCACGCTTTTGCCTGGCAATTATATTCTTTAGGAGCTGGTTCTCATGTTATGAACAATTCTAGGCCTCTGATTTATATCTTTTCCCTTCTGTCTCTCTTGTTCTGCTGAAGTTCTACGGAGCAGCTGCCATGGTAATGAAAACAGGAAAACATCCAGGTCAGCTGAAAGAGCAAGTTGCTTCACCAGGAGGAACCACCATTGCTGGGATTCATGAGCTTGAGAAGGGTGCTTTTCGCACAAGCATGATGAATGCGGTTGTTGCTACTACCAAGCGTAGCCATGAGATGGGCCAATGACTTGGCTTTCCACGTGTAAAATACTCCTAGTAGGGTCGGCTATGCTTATGACAATGATATCAGAAATTTACTTCGAATGCTCTGAATGTAGGAGACCGGCCATTCCAGCCAATTTGTACCATGTTGCTCATGGTATGACTCCTACTCTTCTACATTATGTTCAAGTGGATTCTACTCCCAGTGTATGACTTGGCTTTCCTTGAGTAAATTACCCCTAGTAGGGTTGGTTATGCTTATGACAACGACATCGGAAAGTTACTCCGAATGCAGTATTAGGGAATCTCCTACATCAAAGGAGATCACTTCATCAACAACACAATCTGCTCCATCAACCACACCATCGGCTTTTCCGTATGAAAGTCAACTATGATATGTGCTAAGCTGTCTTTCCTATTCTGTTTGATTAGGATTGATTTAGTCATTCAATTCTGATTGTATTTACCTATTAGGATTGTATTCAAACTGTATAAAATCATAGACCTGTACTTGTAAACATATCAATGAAATATACCAATTAATCTCAGCTCTTATATGGTATCACAACCCAAAAACTCCAACAAGAATTTTTTTTTTCCTGATCCCTCTCTTCCCTGTCTTCATCCATGGCCATTGATGCCTCTGTGACCAACCCTCTACCAGAGATCAACTCCTCTACTCCTACCTTGATCACAATCAATGCTACAGCCCAACTACCCGTGAAACTCACACCCACCAATTACCCGTCCTAGTGTGCTCAATTCAACGCCCTCTTTTACGGCCACGACCTTATGGGTTATGTGGATGGTTCTAATCTCTGCCCATCAGCCTAGGGGTGGGCATCTAAAACCGAAATACCGAAACCGTACCCTAACCGAACCGTACCATACCGATTTCATACCGTTTCATTTGGGATGGAGAGATATTTGGTACCGTACCGTACCGTACCAATAGAGTATGGTATGGTATCGGTATCAAGTATTTGGTACCGGTCAATACCGTACCGTACCGAATAGTATTGAAACATAATTTATTTATTTTCATTCTCTCTCTGTCTCTCACTTGCCTCTCAAGCGCCAAAGCCAAACCCTCCCTCTCCTCCATAATTTTAATTATTTTGGTTTGTAAGCCATAAGGCATGAGTTTTAACCATTTGGATTTGATGAATCTGTTGATGGATAAATATTGATTTGGTTGATTTGGATTTGGTTGATTTGGATATTGAATATGTTGATGGATATTGAATATGTTGAATATTTGAATTTGTAACTTAGGCATTACTTATTTTGGTACCGTACCATACTGTACATTGAATTGGTTCATTTTTTAGTTGTGTCATTTTGGTACCGAAATGGTACCGATACCGTACCGATACCGATTTGGCACGGTACGGTACAGTACGAATTTTGACAAACGATAATCCCATACCGTACCATACCGATTTAAATTTCCGGTATCGGTAGCGGTATGGGCTCAATACCGTACCATACTGTACCGTGCCCACCCCTACATCAGCCACTCAAACCGTGCTTCACACCTTTTGGATTCGGCAAGATCAACTTGTTGTGAAAATGGACAAACACTTTCACTCACTCCCCTAATGATCTTGTTGTTGATGGACTTTGTGACACACACAAGGATGGATGAATCACACACACACACTTGAGAAACTAACCAAGCACAAAGTGACACAAGAATTTATAGAGGTTCAGCAATTACCTACATCCTCTTGGTGATCCCCTTGAGAAATTAACTAATGAAAGAATAAGTTACAACTTTGGTTTACAAAGAAACCCCCTTAGAACTCTATTCTCTCCTAAGCTCTCTTTTCTCTCTCTTCCCTTGCTCAACACTTTGATGCACTTGTGAACACTCTCACAACCCTTGGTGTTTCCCCCCCTTTGGTATCTAGACTTTCAAGACTCAACTCAGCTCCAAACTTGAACTGATTACCCTCTCTCTCTTCCTCCCTTGGTAAGTTACACCTCTCTTGGACACACTAGCTCCCAGCTACTTGTCCACTCCTTGAGAAGTAAAAACACCCACACTTGCTGTCCTTGTATCATCTTCTTTATAGACAGGCCTTGGACTTTGTAGAGGGCTGCAATAACTTCTCCACGTTCTTGCTATCAGCCACCCACCTAAACAAAAGGTTAGGCAAACAAGAAAACAAGCCATAAAGCATGCACCCTTTGTCCCCCTATCTAGAAAACCTTTAATACAAGTCAACAAACAACATTTAATGGTGTTCTAGCTTCTAAGGCACGTTGCCAAACTTCCTAGAACCCATAAAACACTTTGGAGGCACTTGGAGTTAGGTAGGGAACAAGCACATGTGAAAGTCACCTTGAAAAACGCATGAAAAACGACACAGCATGTTTGGCGACCGGTCACACGATCCTGACGACTGGTCGCATTGCAATCTACCTGGAAGTGACCGGTCGCAACTACCTGGCGACCGGTCGCCTGCCTCGAGTTCCAGCTTCTTCTTCAGACCTCGAATCTGCTTCAAAACGACCGGTCGCTTTTCCCTTGCGACCGGTCGCCTCCTCCTTCACTTGCAACCTTAATGTGAGCCATTTTTCCAACACAACTCCTCCTTCATGCGATTCTTGCTTCCGTCTCATCA